CTGATGACTATCTAAGCTGAAGCGTGCGCTCGAGCCCCTCACAGCACACACGGGGACTCGTTCTCACCTGCAGGGACTCCAGATCGGCGCGCAGCTGAGCGAGACGGGCCTCTGTCTGCTGACGGTCCGGCTGCTGAGCGATCACCTTGGCCAGCGCGTCGTACTCCATACGGTTCTGACGGATCTGTGACCGGGCGGGCGTCATCCCGTGTTAGTAAACGAGTGGGTCAGAGTAAACAAGCCATAGAGCTTCGTACCGTCAACTGTCACTGATGTGGTATTGGGACGCGATATTGGCAAGTCTGACGGACGGACTAATGTCGGTAAAATTATTGATTGTCAATTGCAATCGTGCAAAAAGTCGCACGGATCTGGTCGGCTGCATTCCAAGTGTTGCGAAACAGCATCGTTAATACAGAACACTCGTAAAAAAGTTTGGTTCGTGTGTGCACCAGTTCACTCTGCTCTCACAGTTAAGCTTAAGCGTTGCGCAAAAACAAAACTCCAGTCCCCCATTCCATCGAGCCATGACATAAGCGCACCTGTTTGGCAGCGTTCAGCTCCTCTTTGGCCTTGACGATTTCAGCTTTGACGGCCTCTGTGCTGGAGTCGATCTGCTTGTAGAGGGTCTCGTAGTTCTTCAGCTCTGTCTCGTTCATGCGGCAGCAGAGCTGGGACTTGGCTATCGAGAATTCGCACTGGCTCAGCTGATACATCAGCCGCTCGTGAGTAAGTGAGCTGAAACCAACAAGTCAGGTGACTGCCTCACTGTAACACATTACATTGACCCAAGTCCCAACCTTTGTAACATGACCAATTTAGCTCAGGCCGGTCTGACAACAACAGTGAGCGCAGCCCACTCTTCATACCATCTGAATGATAAGCATGGGATGCTTTGAAACACTTCAACTTAAGATAGCTGGAAGGCAACTTAGCACATTAAGTATTGATTTATGTATCACAAGGCATCTTTAAGAGCTCCTTACTCAACATTAGTTAAAAACCCCACTGGCTGGGTGATGAATACGCACCCATCTGCACCGGGCACATCATCTGACATGGCCCATTTAGTGAGGTTCTTCAAGAACATATTAAGTCGCCTGTCATCCCCGGTGCCATCTCCATCTATCATCAACCGTCGCCGGATCACTTCCTCTGCAAATATAAAAACATCATTATAAAATGCACAAAATTCACAAAAGTAAAATCTACACACATTTAACATATGCCAGAAACATTAATTTGCATTTGCACCTCCATAAATTCGAATAAAACACTGAACTACCAACAAAAGCACACAAAAAATAAAGTGAGTATTTAATCAACCAGTCTCAGTCTGTCTTCTCTGATCAACAAAATTGCTGGGTTTCTATGCACGTCTAGTTGATTTAGCAAAATTTCACGTGCATTTTTTGGTATTTATTTACTTTAGGTCCGCAAAACAGAGGGGTAAATAAAAGTCATTCACACGATACTCTAAGACCTCCTGATTTCATTTCTGATACTTATTCCTTCTAGAAACCAATTTAAAAGCACCAGTACACTAGTATCACCGATTGATTCAGCATCCATCAAAAATCATGGGGGCTGGCGAAACGAATATGAATAACTTACCATCAGACATCATAAAAATGATCCGGCCAACTGACTCAACACCAACACAAACTCTAATACGAAGGCAGTACTCCACACATTTAATTATTCCAATACTACACTAATTTCCCTTGCTAATTTCCCCTGAATTTCCTACTCATCAAAAGCGTTTTCAGCAAATATGCTCCAAATGTGAATGACTTGATTCAAAATATGGCGCACTTGGAAAATTTAGACCACTAAATAAAAACTTTGGTATCTTTATGTTGGCAGCTCTTGAGTAAAATAAAAGTTATTGATGACAATGATTACATTTTTATATACAAATGCGTGATTATGACAGATAAAATTAAATCCTTTGAGTCTTTTGAAAGGGTTACACCGAAGTAATCTTTGCAGCCGCTACGTACTGGTCTAGTACCATTGCGTACCTATGGGTTTCACGCGAAGGTTTCACGGGTTTACAGCATTCAATGCGAGTTAATCCCGGCGGTGTGGATAAGATCAGAGTTCAGACTCGAACGACTCTGGCGTTTGGCTTCGGCCTCATCACACCTACCCCTCCCCACCCCTGTCGTTAATGTCGCCTGTCGGGGTGGTCGGTCGGCCATGGGCTGGCGCCTGTCCACGAATCAGCCTGTCAGCGACGCGCGAGCCATGGGCTGATGAATGGCCGCCGCTGCACTTGACTGCACGGATTAGCATGGCCTTGGTTGCGCGGTTGGAAACAGTGGAAGTTTCTACTGCCGGCCGACTCTACCTCCCAGGATCTAATGTAATGTGTCGGGTGGGACTGTTAGTCGGGGTAAGCGTAAACATACAGCCGAACAGGCGCCGCGCCATGCCCTGTAATGGTGAAATGTAACAGAGCATTTGAATGTGAAACGCCCACATGACTTGCGCATTCCAGCCACCCACGGCGAACACCGCGGCACTTGAAGCGGGCAAAAGGGGTTGCATGTTCAATGCCGTCAAACACATCTATTTTGGACATGATACCAGCTCACTCGGGAATAAAACACATTCGGGGACAATACAGTTGAGATTGAGAGAGCTCATTTATATTTTAGATTATAGTTAGGTATAATCGTTATGTAATACAGCATTCAGTTGAGACGTGTGGCCCACCAATGTTGGACTGAGCTGCCACGCTGTCGGCCGCCGCCGACCCTACTGAGCGGTTAGGGTGTAGATGAGGGCGTCAGTGGGCGGCAGAGAGGCGGTGATGGTGTCTCCCGGCTGCACCAGGCCGCCGTCAGCGCCGCTGTACAGCTCGCGGACGCGGTAGCCGCCGGCCGCCTCCGCGCAGCCCGCCAGCGCCGGTGTGAAGCTCAGCTCGGTGGCCGAGTCGCCATAGTTGACGGCCGCCACGGCGCAGGAGGTGGCGTCGCCGGCGCGCGGCAGCACCGGGCGCGCCCACAGCTGTGCGTCGTCGCCCTGCTGCACCTTCAGCCGGCCCATGACGCCCAGCTCGTCCTGGTCGACGGCGATGACGTCGGCGTTCTGCAGGATGGCGGCCGCCTCGGCGCTGATGGCGCGCAGATCGTTGGACATGATGAGCGGCGCCGCCCAGATGGCCCAGAGCGCCATCTGCACGCGGCTCTGCGCCAGCGTCAGGCCAAAGTCGCCGATAATGAGCATGTCCGGGTCGAACCAGCCGCCGGGCCCGGCGAACTGGAACTGCTCGGCCTCCAGCAGCGAGTAGAGGCGCGCGATGCTCACCACCGACTCCCAGTGGTCCTGCACGTCGTGCGTGTTGCGCCAGAGGTTGCAGGTGGCGGCGATGGCCGTGTAGTTGTGCGGCCCCAGCTCGTAGAACGGCCACTCGCACGAGTAGACGATGGGCCGCTCCAGGGCGGCCAGCTCGGCGCCGAACGCCGCGTGATCCTCGGGCAGGTCGGCACGACGCTCGTTACAGCCGTCAATCTTCAGGTAGTCGGCGCCCCACTCTGCGGCATTGAGGCACACTCATCAGCGGCATGGCGCCTAAAGCAGACAAGTCAGACACTTCCCTTGGGAAGAGAGATCCCTTGGTAAGCCCAATATTATTGAATGAAATAATTAGAAAGTTTCCCTTGAAGTCGATATCCAGTTGATCCAAATGTCCTGCCCTCCTGCCTACCAACGGGTTTCTATTCCACTTCCCAGCAGACTGACCATTCCCCATCCCCACAAGACTCCGAAGGCGCCCGCCCCGTCACCCACCGGCGAACGTCTGTGCGTCCAGCTGGAAGTGGCCCTGCAGGCCCGGGTAACCGGCGCACGTCTCGCTGCCGATGTCCTCGTAGATGCCGTACAGCAGGCCGCGCCCGTGGATATAGTCGCCGAGCGCAGCCATGCCGCCCGGGAATCGGTCCTTGTCCGGCTGAAGGCGTCCCTCCGCGTCACGCGTGCTGTTCAGCCAGCAGTCGTCCACTATGACGTACCTGGCCGGGACCACGACGGTCACAAAAGGGAGCGGAAATGGGACCGGCAAACGCGCTAGCTGGAGAGCACTTTAGACCGAAACACCCATATAAAGAACGTGGATATTCTACTCCAATGCGTGAAAGGCTCATAACTGCATCGCCTTAATTAGCTCCCAGAAACGTCAAATGCCGCTCATAGGGAAAGATCACATCAAAACAATGCTCATCTTTCACCAGGTGGTACCTGGAACAAGTAACTGTTTATCTTACGGGTTTTCGTTCCCCAGCACCGCACCAGACTGATCCTGACACCCTTCCAGGGCCCTCTGTCACCTACTTGTATCCGAGCTCGGCGTAGCCATCCTCCGCCAGCCGGTCAGCCATGGCCTTCATCAGATTCTCGCTGATACAGTTGTCCGGGTCGTTGACACAGTCCATGTTGCAGCGGAACCGCTCCCAGGTCAGCCATCCCATGGGAGGAGTGCGGGCCAGACCGTTATCCAGGGCCAGGCAGGGCCCAAGGAGCGCCACCAGCAGCGACACGGACAGCGACATGGCGAGCGTAGGGCGATGTGTCGAATAACGAGGGCGTGCCGGCCAGTGGATACCTGCTATCTAACGCGGAGCCCGTGGGAAGGGAGACAGGTGTTCAGTGTCATGTCAGTAGGACCCTGACGCGATATCGCTCGAGATACCCTCCCCTCCGAACCTTTGGACGACAAACGCTAAGTGATGGAGGCTTGTCCGCCGCGCAGCCTCAGAGACATAACCAGGGAACTAAATGTCAGTGTAACTTCAGATGTTGTGCGCCTCGGAGCTTTCGAAGGAGTTGACGTTTCTGACAACACGACAATATACGCCTCCTCCTAAGTTCTGATTTCGGCATCTCTTTATCACATTTTTCCCTGTTGTCTGTGCCCTGGAGCGCCGATGCGAAATTTATCACCCACTGTGAAGTGTGAGCCTCCCTACCCGACTCGTCCCCGAAAAAGCACCGTGTGACTGGCTCCGCTCCCAGCGGACGTGTATTAACAGTGGCAGGTATCATGAAACAGCATCGGAAGTCGGGCGCAGGGTTACGCCTTGGCGTTGAACGGGTAATACTTGTGGTGGCTCATCCACGAGAGCCCGCAGAACCGGCCGCCGTTGTCGAACGAGTCGATGGCGGCGACGTCGTCGGCGCTGAGCTCAAAGTCGAGGATCTCCATGTTCTCCTTGATGCGGCTGGGGGTGACCGACTTGGGGATGACGACGTTGCCGCGCTGCAGCTGGTAGCGGATCAGCACCTGGGCCACCGACTTGTTGTATTTCTCGGCGATCGTCTTCAGCTTGGGCTCGTCCATCAGCTCCACGTCACCGGGCTTGGCCCACGGCCTGTGACGAACGGCGGGACACGCTGGGTCACAGGCTGGTCGCAATAACGGTCTCATGGGGTCGATCAACTAAGTTCACAGAGGTCGAAACAGATCATGCGAGTTGAAGGTGGGTCACACGGGTTAGGTATGAGATCAGCTTGTTAAATATCTACCGCAGTTGAAAAAAAAAACGTGGGGCGGCACCCGAAAAGACTGGGTGAGTCTAAATCTGACCAGATACGGCGGACTGGGACTGAAACGGGCCAGACGGGCTGATAAGCGGCCGGACTCCGGACAGATTCTACGGCGGCCTCCCGTCGCTCCAGGCAGTGTATGCCGACGTCTCCGACACACATCTCAGAGTACCAGACTAATCAGGAGTCCTGCCGACTGTCTCGTCTCACGCTATCAGATGTCGTACGGGGCCCAGCGTCCGGTCAGACCGCCAGCGTGAGCTGTGTGAAAGGAAACTGGGCCACCTCTGCTCCTGTCAGCACCGAACCTACCTGTCTGGGGAGCCCAGCGGGCTGTAGGCTGTGACGACGATGTTCTTGGATGCGCAGAACTCCATCAGCTTCTTCTGGGTCAGGTACGGGTGGCACTCCACCTGGAAAGGATCAGGGTCAACTGTTGAACACTTCACTAGGCAAAGGTGTCAGAAAACACCACATGCCTGACGTTAGTGGATGGATGGCTTTTTGTCACTGGCATTCACCCATAAGATATATACCTACAATCAGAGAGGTGGAATTGAATGCTGGGAATAAATGTTATACGGTTACTCTTACAATATAAGTTTTACCGTACCTATATTATATAAGAAACTCTATAGTTTACGAAACACATGATAATTATGGCGTTCGAAACAATAACCGGTAAACACTCGATTTTATTTTCTATTACAATCGTCGAATTATTCCAGGTGGTATAAAACAATTTGAAAACCCAGTAAAAGTTTCACCTAAAAACATCGTCTGAGTTCACCCGTCAGACTTGCTAACAATTCAGCCCAGTCAGGTCACGCGCAAGCATATATGGGCAGCTAAGCGGCCATTTCTGCGACGCACCTTGCCCTATGTCCACAATCACATACTTCAATAATCCACTGTCAACTACACAAACATGGAAGTGGAATACATGTCAATGGAGCCTTCATCCCGCCGCTGGTGGTGGGGCGCCGCGATAGCGCCTCCGCCGACTCGGGTACAAACTGATAAGGGGCTTCCATACGCCGCGTGGGCTGAACCACGCCGCACACCGTCCAACAGCGTGTCCCAGACCGTGTCGGACCCACTTTTCTCTCCCCAGTCCCCACACTCCCACTGTGAGGCCGGTGACGCGTCCACGGGAGGGCTATTTTTTATTCCCCGTCTACACAGAAACTACAAATGAGGTAATTTGCATAAAGCACTAACTGCCATGGGTATTTTTTATGGATTTGAATTTAAACCGTTATTCGGGATTCAGATACCCAAGGGCCCCAACCGTCTTAAAGACGTCGATCTTAAAAGTTATTCGCATAAACGTATGGATAAAACATTATTTCCGATATAACACTAACACATTGTATAACTTTCGTCCACTTTATCTATGAAATTTTGTGAAATTATGCGTACGTGATCTCGTACAAAGGAAAAAAAAAGATGGCGCAAATACCTAACGTATGCCTCCCTCCTCGGTTCAATTAGAGAAAGTCTACCGCCCCCAGTGAAGAAAGCCCCGGCGGTCGGCGGAGAATGGATGGGCGGCAACGATTACTGTACAAATAGCGGCGGCCATGGAAGGGACAGGACCACTGCTGTGGGGACCGGCGTCCCGATAACAGAGCGCGAGAGCGAGGACAGAAGGTCAACGACCCGCACCAGATCGGGGCGGCCGGCAGTCGCGACAGGAGTCACGCGGTAATAGGACGCCGGGCGGGACGGAATGTAATGCCGTCACAGAGAGCAGTATCCTGTTACAGTGTGTCCCGCTGAGACCGAGGGGGACGCTGCTTACGTGTACAGATTAAAAGTCAGAAGTCGCTCGCCTAGTGATAACTCAAATAACAAATAAATGGAAAATAGGGAACACTCCACTGGACTACATAGATTTATCGGTGCTATTCTACGGACGTTCGATTTTGTTTTAGTTCCAGTACACGTAAAACGTAAAAAATCACAACTCGTAGAGGATACAGATTAGTCCACCAGGTTGTGTCCCGTAAATCCTATCCAATTACTGTCCCGTTCGTTATATCCCAGCGATAGTGAACCTACCCCGCTAGTGAAGGGGACTTCACTCGCTCTGACAGCCCGGACTCACCTGGTTGACGCAGACGGGCACCTTAGCCTCAGCCATGACGCGCTCAATCTGCTCCTCGTTGAAGTTGGAGACACCCAGCGAGCGCACCAGCTTGGTGTTGACGCCCTCCTCCAGCGCCTTCCACGTGTCCAGGTAGTCCACGTCCGAGAACTGCATCTTGCCGTCGGCGTCCTTCGGGAAGAGCTCGCCGCCCTCCTGCGGACCGGCCGGGCGCCGAGGTTACCCACCCGCCGCTGGGTCCCTGCGCACTCTGCACCAACGCTTTACTCCCCCAGTCACACGGCCCATTCAGACCTCGCCACAGCTGCGGGCTGACCGCTAAACAGGCAGGGGCCTGCAGCCAGCCCCTTTACGGCCCCACGGACCCAAAGGTCAAACCACCCAGGCACACAGACCCTGCGAGCCGGGTAGCTAGCCAAGCACCGGTCGGTCCCCTTCCCGGCCTTCCTAAAGCTAGACTCGATAATCGGGGCAGATCCATGCGCCGATCGCACAGTAAATTCACTCCGTCACGGGTAGTCGTATCCTCACGACCTCGAGCTAAGCCCACGTCCTGTGACTAGCCGAGCTGTCTTCCAGCCGGCCGTGCACCCACCGTGGTCCCCTCTCGTAAGCAGCACAGGTCTCACCTTGTAGCCCATGGGCCAGTGGATGAGGTAAAGGTCGATGTAGTCGAGGCCGAGGTCCTCCAGGGTTTTCTTCAGAGCGGGCATCACCAGCTCCGGCGAGTGGAACGTGTTCCACAGCTGGGGGCACAGACCAGGTTACGGATACAATACACACTAGAGCGATACTGAGTCAGAAACGAGGGTTAAAATTATGGGTTAGAAGATACGATGGCAACGCATAACGAATGCTTTCCTAGAAGTCATCAACGGTATTGTTTCTCCAGGAACGGAGGCACTTCTAGGAAGCAAAATACTCAGGAAGCAAAATACGGTGCCTTTATCCGAGTTACTACCCACACATTCCTCTCGCCTACAACGATACCACGGGTGTGTCTGCGGACCGCACTTAGTGTCTCCGGCACCACACCTCATACTCAACACTCAGGCATTTATCGAGGTGTTCCACTTGGGGTGGCTTTTAGCACCTCGGTCGTTTCGGCCAATCCTGCGCGTGCGTACGTACCTTGCTGGTGATGAAGACATCCTCGCGTTTGACGGTGCCGTCGGCGATCTTGTTGCGCAGCGCCTCGCCGACCTCAGCCTCGTTCTGGTAGGCCCGGGCGCAGTCGATGTGCCGGTAGCCGAGCGACAGGGCCGTCTCCACCGCCTCCTTCACCTTGCCCGGCTCCGACTGGCGACAAACAAGTACAGTCACAAATAAAGTCGGATTGACATGCGCAAGACAGTCTTGGTTCCGATACATATACAGGCAGAGTGATAAATGCATATGCTGTCTAAGTGACTGCTTATTACAAGAAATTAATATTCATTCTATTGAATCCATTCCGTCATAATCTATTCTATTCCAATTTTATGGAACTATCGAACGGTTTATCATTCACTCCCTCTCCCAGACACATTTCTGTACAAAGCGTCTCCATCCATCCGGGGCGAGTCGAATCCATTGGGTTCCCTTAGATACATATCCAGCGTCTCCGGCAGCGCGGCTGTCGGGGAGACGGCGGGTAGACCGGCCACGCACGGACTGCTCTCACCCCTCCCCTACCCCCCGCCCAAGTCTCAAGGTCGGTAGTGCGCTACGTCCACCCGCCGGCCGGTCCGTCAGCTCAGCGGCCCCTGACGAACTGGAAGTGGACACCGGTGGACCTGGTATCGCCGGCGCGGAGCCACCCGTCCAGCAACTGAACTGAACACAACAGGTCAATGGAGGACTGACATACATTACGTAAACAAAATTACATATGTAGTTCAATGCGATTTCTGGGAGAACGTGGATCGACAAGAAATAGTCATTCTCTTCAGGAATTGCTGAAATGTCTACGTACGATATTCACTCGATCAGATTCCTGCAATGGGATATAAAATACGATAGGTAGGGGACAAGAGTACAATAAGTGGGTGGTTGGCGGTTGCTACGCCAACGTCAGACGGTCAGTCGTGTCAAGTGCTTATCGCGACAACCTGCGACATGACACTGTATTCTATCAATTCAAATATGCCGTTAGGTTCTGTGAGTCCGCTCCTAGAACAAATAAATGCTGCCGGCCCCTCCCCTCTGCGCCCGGCGCGGCAGCCGACAGCCGGCGTGGCCTTCACGCAGCCGCGGCTGTCGACCCGAGTCCCTCTCACGCCCCCCCCCCCCCCCCTCCTGCCAGCGCACATGGCGAGAGGGTCCGACGGGCTACCGACCGGGGACTGAAGGTCGGGCGTGGTGACTGGGAATGAAATTCGGGGACAGGAGCAAACGGACAAACTTCAGCTCCCAACTCGACGGGCCGACATGTCACGGCATTCGAATGTCAGTGTTATGTTTCGTCCCCCGACGAAACAATGATCACGAATAGTGCGATCGGTTGAGATTCTTCAATGAACCAACGCCCGATTACTGGAGCGGTGGAGCCGGGGTCAGCGTGGGGGGAGGGATGGGAAGAGGGAGCGAGCAGCTGCAACAGACGTCAGATCACTAGGGCAAACTAATAAACGAACGACACCCGGCACACCCCTCGAGCAGGCATCAATTAACACCACTCGTCAGCCAGCAGGCAGGGTTCAGTTACTAAGCACGCACCTGACGAGTGACAATGCATCATGCCACTCAAAATCGCGTATTCGGGTTCGACCACCGGGTGCCGGTGACTGCTCCCCTCCCTTTCCCGGAGACAGGAAACGTCTGGTGGGGTCAAAAAGCAGTCGGTCACACGACACATTTCGATGAGGTCAGGACGAGGTCAATACGATTCAGCGATGACAGGACGTGTCTCTGTGAGCTCAGGACATGGATTGGTACGGTTCAGTGCGGCTCACTTATTCTAAACATACTTCGTTTTTATAAGAACGTAGGTATTTGGGTGACGTTTTGTGAGATTTCGGTGGAGTACCTTTCAGGAAACGGTAACTGCTCGGCATAGCTCCACACTCGGGACAGAAAGTCATCGCCCACCCTCCTGCGGTGAATCCATATTCGGTAATCGGTTACTACCGTGAGCGACCCACACCGCCGGGCCTCACCTTCCAGGTGCCGAGGCCGAAGAGCGGCATCTCATAGCCGCTGGCCAGCTTGACGGTCGGGAACTTCGGAGGGGGCGTCATGGTGCGCTGCAACGAAAACGCAATCGGTCACAGGTCACGACTCTGCACTCCCTTATCCCGATCAAGCCGCATCACAAGGCACTCGTGTAGTGTAGTATAATGGAAAATCGTTGAGGTCGCATTCCCTACCCTACCTACCACCAGTCTCCCGATGGCATTGGTCGGCGGTCGCATCCGTCGACCCGAAACTGTGGCGTGTTTCTGGGGGGGGGGGGGGGCGTGCGCCTGCCTGGTTGACAAAAAAGCGGGTACGACACCATCCCACTCACACTCTGACTCAGTCAAGTTGAAGTGGACAGTTGGGTGGGCTTCACGTGCCGCAGCTGGTTCGCCGGAACACCCCCCCCCCAGTCCATCTGGGCCGTATGGACTATGGTGCCCGTACGCGGTACCTTTATCGATCCGGGGTCGGCTGACGGCCGGACGCCGGTGAAGCTCAACACTCCCCAGTCCCCAGCACCACTTACCATGCTGGCTTCGCGGGAAGGGGAGGAGTCGCGTATCTAGAGGTATACCTCCAGATTTCATTTTTGTCTCCATTTCGGACATGGAGTTAGCACTTAGCATTGCATGGAATCGCATTCAAACAGCGTGCCTCACCCACGCTTATAACCAGCAGGCAGCAGCCGAGGAGATTCGAGATTCCGATTGGCCCATGAACCAAGGTGGCCAAGAAACGGGGGGAGGCATAGGGGGTGGGGATGCAACGAATGTCATGGGCCATGCTTATCAAGTAACAAAACAAGCGAAACATCAAACAATTGTGCCTCTCGCAGTGTATGGACAGAAAATTTAGAATCACGCTTCAGCTTTGACCTCCCCGAATCTTGGGAACACGTCATTTCATTGATAATTATGATGGCTAGTACCTCTCCCGAGGCCGATCCCCTCCCCATCCCCGCGTGGTAGAGCCATGGCAAAACTGGAGCTCCGCCCTCCGGACGGGTCGTGAATCGTGATATCACACCAGTAGATTATCGCTCCCTAGCCATGTTCCCCTGGCCCCTACTCACCGTGAAAGTGGCAGGATTTGTCCCGCAGAACCTCAACCTCCTCCAACACCCGGAGCCACCCGGCCGCGACAGTAATTCGCCAGAAAGGGAGCCCACGAGCGCGCGCGCCACGAGCCGTGCCATAACCAACAGCTCAGGCCCCGCCCACAACAAAACCCAGCCAATGAGCGTTTTGGTGGAAGTTCATGGAACCGTCCGACCTATGGTCCAACCGCATTTCATGGCGTAATTGGTGACGCCAAAAAGCCTACCAATATTGCATTTGACGTTAAATCAGGACACAAATGAAAAAAACAACAGGTTAAACATTTTAATAGCCTTTTCATAAATAATTAATAAATAAAAGGGCTTACTTAAAAGATGTATTTTAAAAACCTATCAATATTACGTCATTTTCAGCATTAGCCAAGACTTCCAGAGACAGGTATCCCCTGTGTATCCTCTTGGGACATTATCGACGCGTCAGAGACAGAAAAAAGTCGGCGATTGTGTTCGACTGAAGCAAGGACAAAACTGTTATTCCATGCATGAAAAAGTTAGAGTTGAAAAAAACGTCCTCAAAGTGGAATGAATGTAGCTTTTTTGGCCTTGTATATAATTTTTAACTATTTCTGTATCCAACCAGTAGAAGATATTACAGTACTAAATAATTCACTAAGGTCACAACGAAGATACAAAAGCAGTGTTCATGGCCAATCATTACGTTTGTTTTATGACTCCTGTTTATGTAAGCAGCTGCAGCGTCAGTAAGAATATTATTTGACTCATTTTGTATTTTCTCTAAACGCGAGACACGTGAGCCTAATATACGGCCTTGCATGTGTGAGTTACATGTGCAGTTTTGTATTATTCACGGTATATTGATATAGAGAACTGCTGTATTACTATATATACTATATATACTATATTTACTATTACTATAGGTATATAGAGAACTGCTGTAGTAACTGCTGTAATTGGTATTATTGCTGGCTCGCACGTTAAATGGGTGTGCGTAATAATTACTGTTCACTGTTATTTTCACTTTTAAGTTTTAATTTTCCTCTGAAGGGATATTTATTTTTGTTATTGACACCCTGACAACGGCCAACAGTAACCCATCAATGTTTGATTTTTTTCATTTTCTTTTTGGCGGCAACATATTTACTGATATCCATTAGCAAGATGGGGTTGGGGTGGGCCATGTAATAAAATGAATACCAATAGGGTAAGTGGCTCCTATGACGCACACTTCCTAAAAGCGCACACCAAGAACTTTTTTAATGTAGTTCCTTCAGCAGAAGCCAGGAACGAAAAAATCAGCTGTCAATCACTTCAAGCGACATTTGTGCTGCGTGTGGACGGCGGTGGGTTGTTGTCGGCTCAAAAGGTGAGTAGTTATGGCGGATATTGTGATTGAGGTGCAATGTTTCTTCAGCAAAAAAGTGCCTGAAGCAATAATGCATGTTTTAAGACGCATGCACTTCTCGCGTAAACCTGAATAGGCCGGAAAGATCGATGGGCACTGACCGGATGGCAATGAAACGGGACTCAGTTTAGGCGTGCATGCTTTACCCAGAATGCGTCAGTGCTGACGAAAGGGGGCTGAATGTCAGGTGTGCGTGTTTAGGGCAACTGGTTCTGCAATGACGCACAGTTTCAGTGCTGCAAATGCGCACAGTACATTTGATGATTATCTAGCCTTCTTTCTTACAAGGAACAGCTTATATCACGATGAATTGACATGTTAGGCATTGGCACAGTGTAGAATGCGGCATTGAGCTCCACTCCCGGCGGTGGAGCTGGCAAAACGGCGGTGGAGCTGGACGCCTGGCCCGGGCGCTCGGCAGGTGAAGCTGGGCCCGGGCGCTCGACTGGTGACGCCGGGCCCGGGCGCTCGGCAGGTGACGCCGGGCCCGGGCGCTCGGCATGTGAAGCCGGGCCCGGGCGCTCGGCAGGTGACGCCGGACCCGGGCGCTCGACTGGTGACGCCGGGCCCGGGCGCTCGGCAGGTGACGCCGGACCCGGGCGCTCGGCTGGTGACGCCGGGCCCGGGAGCTCGGCAGGTGACGCCGGGCCCGGGCGCTCGGCATGTGATGCCGGGCCCGGGCGCTCGACTGGTGACGCCGGGCCCGGGAGCTCGGCAGGTGACGCCGGGCCCGGGCGCTCGGCTGGTGACGCCGGGCCCGGGAGCTCGGAGCCGGGCCCGGGCGCTCGACTGGTGACGCCGGGCCCGGGAGCTCGGCAGGTGACGCCGGGCCCGGGCGCTCGGCATGTGAAGCCGGGCCCGGGCGCTCGACTGGTGACGCCGGGCCCAGGCGCTCGGCTGGTGACGCCAGACCCGGGCGCTCGGCTGGTGACGCCGGGCCCGGGAGCTCGGCAGGTGACGCCGGGCCCGGGCGCTCGGCATGTGAAGCCGGGCCCGGGCGCTCGACTGGTGACGCCGGGCCCGGGAGCTCGGCTGGTGACGCCGGACCCGGGCACTCGGCTGGTGACGCCGGACCCGGGCGCTCGGCTGGTGACGCCGGGCCCGGGAGCTCGGCAGGTGACGCCGGGCCCGGGAGCTCGGCAGGTGACGCCGGGCCCGGGCGCTCGACTGGTGATGCCGGGCCCGGGAGCTCGGCTGGTGACGCCGGACCCGGGCACTCGGCTGGTGACGCCGGGCCCGGGCGCTCGGCAAGTGACGCCAGGCCCGGGCGCTCGGCTGGTGACGCCGGGCCCGGGAGCTCGGCCAATGGAACATCTCGTGCTGACTCCGTATCCATGCGGGACGACGAAGAACTAGATAGAAGTCTGCATGACGTGATGCCAACCCCTCGCGTGCAGAGGAAAGGTAAGCGAAGGACAGTTAATAGAGATGCTGTGCTGGTAAAGAGGGCATTGTTTGAGTCCGACGGTAACAAGGAAAAAACAAAGAAAGCAGCCAAACATGGACACGTGAAAATAAAACAGGTAAGGTAAAGCCCAATGAAGACCAGTCATCAGGAAGTGAGACGACATGCATATACTGCTGCAGGAAGTTCTCACGATCGTGTGAAGAGTGGATACAATGTCAAGTGTGCACTGGCTGGGCATGCGTGCCATGCACTGACGCTGAAACAAAACAGACAAGTTTCACTTGTGACCTCTGCCGACAGTAGATACTGAGTCAGAGAAAAGGTTTCGAGTTCATGATGTGTTCATGATGCGTTCATGTTCATGGTGTGTTTCATGATGTGTCGAGTTCAAAGTTCATGATGTGCTCATGGTGTTAAACTTTAAAATAAAGTGATTTGATCAATACCTCGACATGTTTATTAAACCTGTTGGAATTGTTCTTGTGCGCATTTGAGGCAGCTGAATGTGCGTCATAAGAGCACCGGTGCTCTATTAGCGCACGTCGGACGTTGGTGGATGTTTTGCCTTATATGTCATAAATGATGAAGGAACGCTGAAACATAAAAGTGAAATCAAGAAAGCAAATGCTTATGAAAACTGCTTGTGACCATTTTATCAGCAAAACAGGTTTCAGTAAGTCTCAAAAGCAGTTTTCCTACTAGGTGTGCGTGATAGGAGCCACTTACCCTACTGTATGGGGTAGGGCAATGACAAGAAATCATTGCCCTCGCCCCTCTGTGATGCCACTGCAGCCCTTGGGCGGAGACCTCAACAAGCATTTTTGCCCTTGGTTATGCATCGGGCAATAAAACATGTTTCGGCTTTCACCCGCAGGCTACAGTGATGTCACGTCACTTGTCACTGTCAGGCAATTATTTTACGCTTGCCAGCTACCCAAATCCCAATGCAGTATTCAAATATTGGATCAAGGCTATATTTGATAATGGATATTGGGTTGGTGAATTTATTCAAGCAGTGCCACTGTATACCTTAGCATTCAATACATACCATGGGTATATGCATTCTTGTTTAAAATAAGTTCCAGTATAGACCTTTGTTTTGACTTTTTGGTGATAGCAGAGGCAACCCTTCATGACATTGGTAAATGTGTAGATTGTAGAAGTAGATAAGTACAGTGAAGAAAAAAACATTCTAACCTGATCTTACCTTACCTCCCATAGGCGCGGGAGCCGGGGGGCAGTGGGGGCAGCTTGCCCCCCCCCCCCCCCCCCCAACTCTGGGGCCGTGGGGGCGGTGCCCCCACAGTTTTGAGACTGAATACCACACTTTTTTTGCAAATGTTTTCTTTTTTGTTGAAAAAGCCGAGGGGTGAAAAATAAGTGGCCTAAAACCGGTGAGAAAACTAGATTTGGGGGTACCCTAGGTTGATCTCTTTTATGGTGTGCCCCCCCAGTCGCAAAGTAGTTCCCGCGCCCCTGTTACCTCCTGCCCTACAACTTAGAATCTACCAGCCTAAAACCTACAACCTTCAACCTTCAACATACACTGGCGGTCGCAGCCGCTAGCAAAAGGGGGGGGCCAAAGTCACACTCGCGGGACATAACATTTATCAGTCGCCGGGGGGGGGGGGGGGGGTGATCGGCTAATTTTTTACGTCCACGAGGTGCCGCGCAGTTGGCATTACTTATGCTTCATCCATCTGATTCTTGCGTGAAATCTTTAAGCTCAATTTAAGGCAAAATCACCAGTTCCATTTCCCGTCCCACGGCGCTTCCACCGGTAGGCCCACTGCACCATGACGACGGATCGGTGTAGCATAGGTATACTGGAAGGTCAGGCACGCGGATTCATGACCTTACCAAATAAAACAATTCGGAAAAGTACAGATACCTCTTGCTTTGAACAAGCATGTGAAACCCAGAGAGCATTTTCAGACTATGACATTTACCCATATAGGTAACATACCTAGTTGTGTGGTGGCGGGAGAGAGTAGGTGTACACCGACCTCTGGAGACCCCCCACAGGTTCCGAGCTTTCAAAATTGGCATCTGAGGGCCGCGCGCGACTCCTGCGGGGCTTCGCAACGGCTCTATTGGGGCTCACTCAACCTGCCTAGTCTTACTGCTAAAAAGACTGGCCCTGAGCCCTAAGGACTTCATCAGTCTCTGCCATCCCCAGGACCCACACCGGCTCATGGGGTCCCGACGTCGAAATATGAGGGAATCTGCGTGGGACCATCAGGACGTAAAGTAATCTCGATCAGGACCAACGTAAGGCTGTGCCGGAGACTGCGTGAGCCCTCTGATCTTCAGAAACCCACCCATGTATGTTTTCACGTAGAGGCCAGTTTAGGGCCCTCAGAGACCAGTACAGGGCCTGCAAACTACAAAGGCCAGTAGTTTGAGACAATCAGTGACCGAGTTGGGCTCTCAGAGGCTAATGTGGGTCATTACAGGCCAACATGGGCCCTCAGAGGTCAGCGTGGGGCCCTAAAAGACCGGTATGAGCCGTCGTTGGACCCCAGAGGCCAGCAGAGGGCCCTCAAAGGCTAAGATGGGCCCTCCTCAGAGGCCAATGCAGGCCCTTAAGAGGCCGGCATCGGGTCTTCAGCAGCCAGTGCGGGGCCCTAATTGGCACCTAAAGGTTCGTCTTGGGACACCACAGACAGAAATAAGGCCACCATCGGTGTGAGACCCTCAGACGCCGGTTGGGACCCCTGAGGCCGGTTAGGGGCCCTAATAGGCCAGATGTGGGGTCTCAGAGATTGATGTAGGCTCTTAGCGGTCAACGTGGGCGCTTGACCGCCACTGAAGTTCCTTCAGAGGTCAGTGTAGGACGCTCAAAGACCGGTGTGGGAGCTATATTAATAGCTGGGCGTGGGTTTTTTGAGCCTCGTGACGATCGAATAATTGCCAGGGCCCCATACACCTACCTATATATGGGGGCCCATTGGTTGTTTGAGGTGGGGGGGGGGGGGGGGCCGGGGGGGGGGCAAATGATATGATGGCCCCCTTTATTGACCTTTGGGGGGCATGGCCCTGATGCCCCCCCCCCCCCCCCGCGACCGCCACTGTGTACACATTACAGACATGCCTCTGAGATTACATACTAGCTCATGCAAACTCTATGCAGGCCCCGGAGTTCCCAAGCTAATCCTTAAGAAACCAAGCCGGCATACGGTGTCACCACCGGGCTTCTGATGTGCACAGCACCAACCCATGAGGTCTTACTTTAGTGTCTTAGAGCCAATCTCCTTTAGCAGGGCCCACCCACCACTGCCGAAGGGGGTCTCATGCCAGCCATTGCTGGGCCTACGAGAGCCTCAAGTAAACCCACGCTGATATTCCATATAAGATCCGGCCATACTCGTGAACCGGTGCCAGCGACGCTGACCGCCAAATTGACAGAATGCGAAACTGAGCCCACTCATGAGTGAAATTTACGTCCTTTGATGGCGCAAGAAAGAAAATGAATCATACGAAAAGCTTTTCTAGGACTTTTGTTCGATCTGAAAGGTGGGGCCAAAAGATAGTATGGCCCCACCTTTCAGCACCAAAGGGGGGGCCATGGCCCCCGTGGCCCCCCCTGGGACCGCCAGTGTCAACATACCAAGTACCAACATACCAACCAGGCTTCATCTGCGTCATATAGGTACCATGACATTTGCCATCTGATTTGCGCCACCACCCACCAATGGCAATGTCAAATTTCTTGTTTTTATGGATCTGTGATCTGTCTCTGTGGCTGCTGCAACTTCTTCTAAAGCTTCTCCAGCCTCCTGTAATTAAAAAAAAAATAGATCTTGTTGTTCCTCCAAGCTCCTCTAAGGTCATGCTGATTCTACATCTTGCCTATGATACAAACAATGATAATCTCAAAATCAATATTGGTGTGCCACTGGCCACAAGTCATTTACTGTACAGCTTACAGTTTACACACAACTGATATCCTCTTAGAAATAATCCTGTGGCTGCTTGGAAATGGCTCCTGGAAGCTCATCCAAAGACCGAACTGTATCCCTATGCTCATTGATGTGCCTGTATTGCGCTGCCTGTATTGTATGTATATGGTTTATGTGTGTCAATGTGTTTTCCCTCTGTAATGCCCACCGAATGGTGGTTAGTGGGAATATGAAATAATAATAATAATAATAATAATAATTGATGTCTCTACTCTCTAGGCATTCATTGACCTATTTTCACCTCATATCTCATTTCAGATATCAGCAACCATTGTGTGACTCCAAGATGTCAATGACTCAAGCATGGGCTGCTTTGCCCTTGTCAAAACCAGTCATGACCACGATTGTGAAACATTTGAAGTATAAAGCAATGACTCCTGTTCAGGTTAGTTGTACTGAGTATAATTGTTGATAATGAAAAATCAATATCATAGCTGAATTAGCTCCAACTTGAACTGCAAGCTCTTTCCAACTTGAACAAGCTGACCTCTATCAGGCACTCTGAATTCAGTGGTTGATGCATTCAAGCATTTTTCTCTTTTCTTCTCAGCTGTTCTCATCTGGTCTTTCTTAATGCCACCTGAAGCTGCTGCTTGTTAGTCTGGCTCTGTAATTCTCTCAGCCGTCATCTCTTAACCCGCGCCCCAGTGGTGGTCTTAGCCAACTTCGCCATAGTGGGGGGGGGGGCATATGTTACCACCCACCTCTAACTCAAAAACTAAGAGGGCTAGAAGGACGCGGTAAAGAGCAGTCGATAGCGCTCAATGCGTACGCTTGAAAGTATTTTAGTCATTTTGCATCTTAGAGCAATATTGGGGTCACCAGAGGTCATCAAAGGTTAAAATTTGCCAATTAGTCATTATATTTTTCAGAAAACATGCCTTATCCCAGGAACTATGATAGCTAGAAAAACGCATGGAAAAGCGATCGATAGCTTTTGAACTCTTCTTTTGATAAGCTCGTCATCAAAATTGACCTCAGGTCAACGGTTTAGCCTCCAGAGGGCAAAAACTCCAAAAATAGCTGTTTTTACGAAGTGTTATTCGACAATAACTTTTGACTAAAAAAAGCGACGACATTTCTATTGCCAGAATCGTGTTCCTCTCGCCGAGACGCGTCGAATGAACAATAATTCGACCTTGAAAGGTCAACTTGATAATTTGACCTCAGGTCAAGGTCATGACCTGACCGGAAAAGGTCATGTTGCATATCAGTCCAACAAGACAAACAGAATGAGGCCATCCCCAGCGTTCTATCTCTTTCCAATCGAGAGTTATTGGCAAAAATCTGGTTGTAGCTTAAAATGACCTCGGATGACCTTTCTAGAGGCTATCAGCAAAAAAGACACCTTGGTCGTCACGGGTAGTCCAAATCATTGTGATTCTGAAATGTTTGGACTGTTCTCATGCGTACACACGGATCTAGAGGCGTTTTCATTTTCTCCATTGACCTATAATGGTAAGGTCACGCCGCTGGCCTGACCTTAGGTCACGGATATAAAAAAATCCGAGATATGCAAATTATAGGCGCCCACATCATACAATCCACCAAGTTTAAAACCTCTCTGACAAACACTGCAGGCTGAACATGATTGCAAACTTTTTTAGGCTTGGTCAGTCAACTTGACCTGGTGACCTGACCTGACATGACCTGGGGTAAAAAAAAAATTCACACATTGTCCAAAATTGATGTACAGAAAACTACTCCAAGCGGCGTGGCGCTACGCGCCGCGGTTTTTTTATTCACACGCAAAAAAAAATGCGACAGGGTGGTAGCATATGCCCCCCCCCCCCCTCCCACTGGGGCAAAGATTAATATCACATTAAAGGGACTATCCCACCTTTAACATGGGGTTTGAGCTGAGATAGCCAAGTTTGCGGCGAGGTTCAGAAACCACTATCTATCTAGGTTGCAACCCCCGCGGCCTCTTGGTGTTGAAGAAATTCGTTCCCTTCATTTGAAAGTGGGCCTTGTACAAGGCCCTATCTTCAACATGGAGCGACCGTTAGTGTGACCTCACCTCGTTTAGTCATTCTGATTTAAATGGGTTCGTTCGTTGAAAAATCGCTTAAAACTTGGTCTGAACTTTGTTGTGGTGCCTACAGAGTAAAAAGAATCAGCTTTATGACAGTAATGTGGCCTGGGGAAGGAGGTAATTTTGGGCTGTGACGTCACATATTTGAAAGTTTGTGTTTGGAATATGGGAAGCCTAAGATGTTTAATGAAAAATAAATGCCAGAACCGTGTTCCTGGTCATCCAATCTATAAAGTCGGGCACAATTTAACTGGTTTTAACAACATTTTAGAAGGTGGGATAGTCCCTTTAAATTCTGCTGTAAATCCTATTTGCAGCGATACCAAGCTCAGGATAAACCTAACGCCACAAATTTACCATTTTTAACACACATTGGGAACATCATTATGCTGAAATAACAATAACTAAATAGTAGTGCATACTTTCAAAGTCAAATATGGTACTGGGTCTTTCATGAGTCATTGGTCAAGGCAATGGATTCAGTTGTGTGACTTTAACCTTTTTGTTTACAGGCTGCCTGCATTCCACAGTTCATGAACTATAAGGATGTGGCTGTTGAGGCAGTCACTGGCAGTGGCAAAACGGTGGCATTTCTGGTGCCACTGATGGAAATTCTGCTGGTGAGCATGTTTTACAATCACTCGTTCCCTCTGTAGTCTGTTCCCCGCGACCCCAGAGTATTTGCCTACTTGTCGGCAAGGTAAGACAATCCCCCATGACATTTGAGCCAGCTGGCCTCTCCTTCTTAGTTCTTCATGTCGACAGTGAAAATATCCCGCCGTCCTCCCCCCCCCTTCCCCACAAAACGCGGCCGTCGGCGAGTGAGACGGATCCCCGCGACACGCCGGCCGAGAGAGGCAACGTCTTGGTCGTACCCAACCTCTCCACAGCCCTCCTGTGGAGCAATGGATAAGCTTTCTCTTACGAAACGCTGTAGTGACCCCCCAAGGGCGAAACTCCCCCGGCAGAGTAAGGTCGTCAAAAATGACGACCTTACTCTGACCTTTGCTCTGCATTGAGTGAGGAGAGCCGTTGTTCTATATACTCTGGTGAGCCCCGCAACCTTTCGTTTTGACAGAGTAAGGTGACCCCAGCTAGTAGCTACCCTCCATATCTCCCCCATCAGAGTAAGGCGCCCATCGCTACCCCCTCATATTCTTCCCCTGGCAGAGTAAGATGACCCCTTACCCTCCCCTACAGAGTAAGATGACTCCTTTCCTCCCCCGGCAGAGTAAGATGACTCCTTCTCTCCCCCGGCAGAGTAAGGTGACCGAGGTGCGGAAGCAGGACGTGTACGCGGTGGTGGTCTCGCCGACCCGGGAGCTCGCCACGCAGATCGCGGAGGTGCTGAACCAGTTCCTCCTCGAGACGCCGCAGTTCTCGCGACAGCTGGTGATCGGTGGCGTCTCATCGGCGGCCCAGGACGCACGCAGGCTGGCAGAGCACGGCGCTAATATCGTGGTGGCTACGCCGGGCCGACTGCATGACTTGCTGCAGAGGAAGGAGACAGGGCCGAGGCTGCAGGCTGCCGTCAAAGCGCTGGTGAGCGGCCGGGACCGGTTGGAACTCGGACGGAAGGAAGGGATCGACGGTCAGTCGTCCGGTTGATCTGGAGGGAGAGGGAATCCGTGGTTCAGTTCATTTTATTCCTGTTAGTGCCGATTTGTTTGGGTGGATTTTCGGTGTCTAATCGTACATCTAAATTCTGTGGTTGTCCCACTTCAAACAAGGAGTGCTGGTTGGCGCTGCTCAGCTGTCCCCCCCCCCTTCCCCTCCCCCGCCTCCACAGGAAGTGCTGGTACTGGACGAGGCCGACCGTCTGTTGGACCTGGGCTTTGAGCGGCAGCTGAGTGAGATTCTCAGCTGGCTGCCGCGACAGAGGCGCACCGGGCTGTTTTCAGCCACTCAGACGGACGAGGTGCAGAAACTGGTGCGCGCCGGACTGCGTAACCCGGTGGCCATCACCGTGCGCGACAAACAGACCGGTGAGCGAGACGGAGGTGTCCGCCTGCATCCACCGTATTTTGATTGGATACCAAATAGTAAATACTGTATTGTGCGTGTAAGGTGGCGTATGCAACATTTGCCAGTCTTTGTCCGCTCGGCAGTCTGTTTTCATTGGTAAGTGTTTTCTGACCCGATTACGCGCATTTACCTTTTTATGACGTTCGTCTCGCTGAAAGCTTTCGATTTACCGGTTGGCGTCTCCACGACCATCTGGTTATGAGACATGTGATTTTCCCATCCATTCATACCCAAAGCCACTGCCGTAAAATTGTTTTATCGAATATTTAATAGATGTTACATGTCTGAGTTTCGGTGATTTCAGACATTTTCAGCGTTCTTCTGTTGTTTCAGGTGACTCACGGACCCCGCATCAGCTGGAGAACTTCTACATGGTGTGTTCGGCAGAGCACAAGCTGGGCACCCTGATCCACCTGTTGCGACAGCGGGCAGCGCTCGGCCACAAGGTTATGGTGTTCCTATCCACCTGCGCCATGGTCGAGTACTTCACCGTGGTCGTTAAACGGTACGTGGTTGCGTCGCGTCGCCCTGGGGCCGGTATATAGCGGAACAGCAGAAATACCGGGTGCTCGCCCACAGACACCTCTTTTTTTTACTCTGTAAGTGCTCTGTATTGACGGACTTATCTCTTATTTTCCAGACTGGTGAAGTGTCCCAATGTTCTCAGTATACATGGCAAGATGAAAAATAAACGGTTTAAGATTTTTGACAAGTTCAGGAAAATGGAATCTGGTGAGTAGCCTACACTCGAATCTTGGGAATACGCTTCGCATCTAATCATTACTGTGTTGAGTGTTCTGCACATAACTCACGACTCTTGTCGCTAAAGCCGTCTGTATTGCTCTGTATGTGCTAGGAACTAGGAATAATACGCCTGTGCGCGTCGCGATGACTCCCCTTCTTGTCTGTGCCAGGCGTGCTGCTCTGTAGGGATGTGATGGCGCGCGGCGTGGACTCCCTCTATTTCAGTCCCCCTCTGACATGTGTTCCAGGCGTGCTGCTCTGCACGGACGTGATGGCGCGCGGCGTGGATATTCCCTCCGTGCACCTGGTGGTCCAGTACGACCCGCCCAGCTCGGCGGCTGCGTTCGTCCACCGCTGCGGCCGGACGGCCCGCAGCGGCCACCAGGGGGCGGCGCTGGTACTGCTGCTGCCCACAGAGACCAGCTACATCCAGTTCCTGCAGCTCAACCAAAAGGTGGGTACATTATACTGATCAACTGCAGCGAGCTCCTGCAGCTCACCCAAACGGTCTGTAGTTGCCCAAAACTACTCTACTGTGCTCAACTTGCTATCATTGGCCTTTGAACTGGGAAGTAGGAACCACTAGGCTTTTTGGTGCGTGTAGCTTTTCGGTGATTTGGCAAAGTCCTATGAAGGTTTATTGTATGTCTGGAAGAGTATTGTAACTATTTGCCCTTGGCATGTTTCGCCTAGGTGGTGAACCTGTGCAGTGTGCTGGTGATGCACCCTTTACCGCTCCTTCTGACAGACTCCTCCGTTCCCCAGGTAACATTGACGGAACAGGAGGCTCCGCCGCCACCACCGCCATTCACAACTGAACTGCGGCAGCTGCAGCTGGCCGATCGAGCCAACTACGATCGCGCCACGCGCGCCTTCGTCTCGTTCGTACAGGCCTACGCCAAACACGAGTGCCGGCTCATCTTCAGCGTTAAAGGTACGGAACGATTGGCTGCCGGCTCAGTCGGCAAGTGGCGCCATGTCACTGATACTGTCGAATGAACCTGCATGGCCTCGTGTCGCCTCACAGCTTTTGTCTAGTGCTGTCCAGTCAGGCCATTCATTTCTTAGTAAGCCTCCGAAATGTGAAGAGAACGAGTAAATGTTATATCAATATTTGTATCAATAAATATATAATCAGTAGCTTGATTTGAGCAGAATTGCTAATGTTTTAAGTAACAAGCTCGTTTTATTCACTGCCCGGGCACATTCAGTGTTAAAGATATTCGCTTTACCGCGCCGTACTGGGTGCTCCGTCTGACCGCTCCTCCCCGGTCCCCAGAGCTGCCTCTCGGGGAGATAGCCACCGCCATGGGGCTGCTGCAGCTGCCCAGGATGCCGGAGCTGAGGACGGCAGAGGTGACCAACTTCACGCCCGCAGACGTCGACCTCAACTCGGTACCCTACAAGTGAGTATCGGGTCTTAGCTCGGCGCTGGTGGGTCCGGCTTGGCTTCGGCCTGGGACCTGTAGAGTTCGCTGTCCTTCCTCAATAAAAAGGCTTTACGTATCGCTGCGCTATATTGCAGCATACGGGCTCTTGTGGCGTCAATTACGGATTATTACGGGCCAATTACTGATGGTGAATCCATTTTCTCCGTTTTTGAGGAGCAGGACGCATTGGTAGGATGGAATTGATTTGTTATGCACGCATATATCCGTACGACAGATTGAGAATCGGTTTCGGTTCGGGGGAGACTTGGTGATGCTGCTTTACATTTCGAGATAGGGCTAGAAATCCGAATGAGCGGGAAGACGAAATACAACATAATTAAGGCGAGTCGGTTGGCGTGGTGCTCGTGCGATGACTGGGGTTAGTCGACGGTTTCGGTGCTTATGTTGTGCGATAACTCGGAGTTAGTCACTAAACACGAGGGTTTCTCAACTGCTCAACCGCGATGGGAGTCAGTAGTGCCAACTGTTCACTGCCCAGTGCCCAGCCGCTATGGCTAGGGGTCAGTCGGTGGTACTGCTCAGTCGCTATGTCCGGGGTTCAGCCAGTGCCCACTGTTCAGTTGTGATAGCTGGGGAGGGGGAGGCGGGTCATTCGGCGGTCATCACTCAGTTGCGATGGCCGAGGGGTCAGTCAGTGCCCACTGCTCAGTTGTGATAGCTAGGGAGGGGGGGGGGGGGCGGCAGGGGTCAGTGGTCGGTCGATAACCGCCGCCGGTGTCACTGACCTGACTGGGACGGTCCGATGGTGGTCACTGCAAACAAAAGGAGTGCCTCGAGCCCGCCTCCGGCGAAAGGATTGAACGACCGGTGTTCGGTCAGGGCATGGAGCAAGGTCACAGTGTGATATGTGTTATAGTGGCGGGTTAGCAGTGTGGCCGTCGAAGTTTATGTCGGTTGCAGCTGTGCACAACGCAAGCGACTAGTTGGTTTTCTTTTTACTGATAGATTAGCATTGCTGGCATTTAATTTTACAACCTATCGAAACGTGTAATGCATTCAGAATGATTTTCATTTCTTTTGTCCTTGACTGAGCATTTTTTGTTAGCTTGTGAAGAGTTGCTAAACGGTAACCACTAGGGTGGCGAAAGGTCAACATTGATTATGTCCCGGTGACCGCGGCAGTCGGCCGTGGTTGTGGTGTTGTTTTCGAATTGCAGTGCCGTTCGCGTTCCCCGCACTGTTGTTTCGTGTGACTCTGGGCCCCTCGGTTCTAAATGGGGCAATAACTGGGGTCACCATGAGGTGAATGTGACGCAAACGTGCGACGTCGCACTGGGCCCGCTTGCGGCTGTAACGGTAGGCTACCTCGGCTATGCCCCCCCCCCCCCCCCGTGATTATGTAGGGGAGAGTGGGGCACATTCGTGCAAAAAATGGATAAACCCATATATCTGTTCTTTGGTTAGTGCAATGGCAAAATTGTTGATTGTAGTATGGAAAGAAACTATTGCAGATAGTTTTCCTCTTTAAAAGTTATCCTATCAAATTATTGCTTCCATTAGAAAAAATGACTTTTATTAACTCTGAACATTTGTTCGAAACTGCCCCACCTATGGGGCACATTCGTTCAAGAGATGGGGCACTTCCGTTCACCCGGCAAAATTCGAGAAATTACCGGGCATTACCAGAAATTTACCAAAGGAAATTGGCAGGGGGTCATTTCACTTGATTCCTTTCGACAAGAATGCATTGCACAACAAATGTAGAAAGAATGGGCTGGCCAACAAGAATGTGCCAACTGCCGGCCTCCGTGACCTCGCCAAGTTCGCGTGAATTGCTCGTCACGACGTCGCAAGCAGTCGAGACTGAGTCAGGCGAGCGTCATTAGAGAAACCTACTACAGATAAAGTCATAAATCGCAAAAACTAAAAAAAAAAATATGCACGAATGTGCCCCCAGGCAGTGCGTACACGAACCTGCCCCACAACGTTATTAGTAATATATTTCAAAATTTCTTTTTGAAAAAATGACACTTTTTCAACAAACAAGTTTGCAGCAGTTCCGTGAATAGAGTGGGCTTCTTCACCCCCAATTTTGAAAAGCTGAACCACATTTCCGAGTCAGGATCACGAAAATGGATGATATGAGAAAAGTTTGGAAAGCTCACGAATATTACAAATTTGCGTTTTTATCAAGCATGACAGCAGGTACAGTGTTGTCTTCTGCGGTGAACGAAGGGCGGCAATGATAGACATATTTCCATAATTTACCTTGAGCTCGTGCAGTCACTCGTGTTCCCATAAACTGCTGAAAACGAGTGTGCCCCATGCACGAATGTGCCCCACTCTCCCCTACACCGCTCAGCGTTCCTCCAAGTTCGAAAGAACGCGTGTTCGGAATAAATGTGAAATATGCAGGTTCAGAGATGTCTGTATGGCCGTTTACTTATCCATTGCATTGATTGTATCCCTTCATCCGCTAGTTTCATGATTCTACAGCAGCTGATTTAGGTGTGCGGTGGTGACTGGTATAAGGAGCTTTCCGGGTCCCGAGTCGGGTCGCTACTCGCTAACCCGAGCTCAGTCGCTGACCCGAGCCTCCCCGCAGGAACCCGGAGCGCGAGGCGGCTCGGCAGGCCAAGCTGGCCGCCTACCGCGAGACGGGCGCCTGGCCCGGGGCCAAGCCGGCCAAGGCCAAACCGTGGAGTGAGTCCAAGGCCAAGAGACAGGAACAAAAGCAGAAGAAGCAGAAGCGGAAGGAGGTGAAAGAGGAGAAAAAGAAGAAGAAACGCAACAGGGAGGTGGACCAGGACGAGTGGGACGAACTTGCCAGCGAGGCGCGGGCGCTGAAGAAACTCAAAAAAGGAAAGGTAAGAAGAGTCGCATTAGCCAGCCTCATTCCCACATCCACCTTTCACAGTTCACTTGTCACCACGCCGCTAAGTAAGCGCTTTGATTACTAGCACGTTTCCTCTGTTCTGTTGCAGATGTCCAAACGGCAGTTTGACGCTTCGATAGGCATGGACGAGTGACTTGTCTGTGGTGCTGCCCACGGAAATCTGCCTCCGGCTGTGACGTCAATCCGTTTTATTGTACAAGAATACCAATAATGACTGGCACCCTTATTGTTGAATTGTTTTATAATAAAAGAGGTGCGCACAATTTTCAGTTGTACATGTAGAGGACTATTCCATACACATACTGCAATCCTTTCCAGCTGCAGGGCGTCTCGTCAACTGTAGAAGTGGACAGCTATCGAGGCCCGCCTTCTGTATGGTGTGATGACACGAATTTACAAATGACTTGGTTTCGACGCCGCAATCGCTTACAGTTCATGATACACATCGTTGATGAAACACTGGGTACGCAGTAACACTGTACAAGGACATTCATGGCGATACATAGAATATGACGTTGAATTACATATGACATAAAGCTATTGAGTTTTCCGAAGAAAATCCATGAACACATGATGAAAATAGACACGTTAGTGTGAGTAGTTCTGGCGAAAAATATTAATGTTGGACGGCTTATAGTAAAACAGCAGCTCTAGCATTCACTTATTACATAATATTAGGTACATATTACACAGTGTTCTATGCAATGTTGATCCGAAAGCAGTCGGAAGTAGTATGGTTATGATAAGACAATTAATGAAGCTTTCCTCAAACAGCCCCTCCATGGCCTGATTGTTCACTTTTTCATGTGGTTGTCGTTCATTTATTAACCATGGCCTTGGTTTCACCTTATGATGGAGACGTGTCTTAGCACATTTTGAACGGCTTCACATTCCTTGCGGCAGGCTGTTTTGCTCCACTCTCCCCCTTGGCCGTGCATCATCAGGATCATCAGGATGCGGCATCCTCCTCGTGTGTACCTCACGCTCTGCCGTACCTCACGCTCTGCCGTGCATCCTGCGTCCGCTCCCGTACCCTCCATGTTTTTCTCACGTCCTTGGTCGAGTCCAGCGGCCTCTGACGTCTCTCAGAGGCCTTCTACGGTCTCAAAGACCTCTAACGACCCTATCACGGACCTTCGACGGCCGCCGCCCGGACCGCCGCGAGCACCCTGACGCACAGTGTCGCTGTAATCACCATCCCACCCACGGCATACAGCAGAGCGGCGGCGGCCGCCGGTCCGGCCAGCACCGGCACCTGACCGCCGGTCACGGCCAGCACTGCCGTGAGCAGTGCCGAGCCGGCGTCCAGGCGGCGACAGACCCCGAGCACCAGCGCGCCGCACGCCACATACAGCGCCAGCGCCGCCGCCGCCGGCAGGCACGAGCCGCGCCCGGCGTCACGGTCTGCTGGATAAGGCCGTTCCTCGGGTTGCGGAGGACCTTTTTGGAGGCTGGTGCTGCCTATGGCCGAGCCATTTTCGTCTCTCTCGTGATAGTCCGGTGCTGATGACCGGGTAGCCGACGTGGAACGGACGGGCTGGAGCACCACTGGTCCGTTCTCTGGCGCACTACTGGTTCCGAGTGACGGCGGAGGTCCATGGTCCTCGGCTTCACCCTGCAGCACCAGAGGTCCATTCTGTGGTAATTCGGCCTCCATCGGTCTCTGCCGAGGTGTCTTCTTTCCCCTGTCTGCTCGGCCATTCTGATTGGCCGTATCCCGGTGACCTTGGCCGGTTCGCGGCACGCCATTGGCTGTGGGCGGGTGGCCGTTGTGCGCCGGCACGGTGTAGACGGCGGGCGGCAGCGGGTGGACCTGCGCGCCGGGCGGTCTGCGGCGGCAGCAGCGGCCGGCCGCCGCCCAGCGGGCCAGGTGCCGGCGCAGCAGGTAGACCAGCGTGGCGGCCAGGCTGACGGCGAGCGGCAGCGCCACGGCTACGGTGACGGCCAGCACGGCGGCGCCCAGCGGCGACCGGGCGGCCGGCCAGCCGGGCCCTGCAACACAGCGGGAGGCAGGTCAGACCGACGGCGGCCGGCACTGCATACTGTCGTGTGGTCCTCGTTGGGGCTCAACTGGATACATAGCGTTTCGCAAGACAGTAGGAACCGGAGCTGTTGAAACTACGCATTTTCTAGACACAGTCTTCTTGAATGGTTGAATCTCGTGAACTTGTTCAGCGTGCCGTTTTATTGACATTTTCCGCCGTTTCCGACCCCTCCCCTACTCCGTCTCCCTGGCCATCCAGCACAGTCCGGCAATTAAACGGACCGTGCTTGATATCGATAACGCTGCACCAAGCGACCACGCTTTCGAGCGTGCACGCGGTAGGTCCCCTGCACTTGCACATCTCTTCAAATACATTATGGCACAGACTGTTGCCAGAAGTAATTACGCCTCCCCCTGCCATACACATTGCCTGCCGCACTCAAAATAAGTGTTACAGATCGTGTCTATCCGGAGTTATTATGCTCCATTATTGAAGGCGGGGTGGCGGACCTGGGCCCCACTGCACAGCAAACCGCTGCAGGGATCTTTTAATTGCTTTTATGGGCCCAATGGGACAGATCATTGAATGGTTGCAAAATGCACAAATCATCCTCCAAATGACGCGGAGCTGCGATTTCCTAAGTAATGAATTATCGATCGTTTGTTTCGGGTGACGCCGCCAGTGCTATGGTGCCTCTGCTGTTGACGAGCACTTCGCTGTGCTATCTACCGTCGGTACCGATCGGTGATTCTAAATTCGCATGTAGACCTTGCTCGGGTACGACACGGGGATAGTATATCGGTAGAAGTATGGAATTCATTTCAACGCAAATTAATCGTCATTGTCGCGTGAAAACTATCATTTGCCGATTAAGCTGCCGACGTCTCTGTGCAGCCCGAGTTTCCCGTCGGGTTACGGGAACCAGCGAGCGTGGTTAGCTGACGGATCGATCGGAGCGGACGGGTGGCAGGAGCCACACCGGCCGATCACTGAGTAGCGCGAACGGACCCCGATCTACCGCTGTCCCCCACGCCGCCGCGAACGGGCCCCGACCTACCTCTGTCCCCCACGCCGCCGCGAACGGACCGCGACCTACCTCTGCCCCCCACACCGCCGCGATCGGGCCCCGACCTACCTCTGTCCCCCACCTCCGCCACGAACGTGCCCCGACCTACCCCCGTCCCGCACCTCCGCACCACCCGGGGCAGGTGGCTGAGCAGCGCGCGGAAAATCAAACAAAGCGCTGCCGACGATCGTCAAGTCCCGCACGCGACATTAGTTAATGTTGGGTACTTTGATTTTTGCACGGCCTACAAATGCGACATTAGCGAGGCTATTTGGTGTGCGTGGCGAATTGACGTCTTTGTTGGTGCTGTCCAAAGAAGGTGGCCGGTAGGGGAGGGTGCTAGCAGCAAAGTTGTGATGGGGTGCTATATGTAATGCTGGCGGGGTAGCCCGAACAAGGCGGGGTGCCGCGACCACCGGCAGTCCGGGTCGCGTGTGATTACCGCTGGCCCCGGCGGCTGACCGATGTCCTCAAATTAAACGGTAGGCATGCCTGAGGCGGACAATGCCCGGCTCATATTCACACAATAGCACCTGCCCGCACAATAGTGTTATTACGCGAGGTGCCACCCAACGTGCAAAACACCCCAAATTACACCGGTGCGAGCGACTTTAGCGAATGTCATTTGAGCGAACGTCATTTGAGCTAACCATTTTCAGCGAATGGCAATTCAGCGATTATCAAGTTCAGCGATTATCAAATATAGCGATTATCAATTTTAGCGAAAGCTATGTTTCAGCGACATCTATTTCGTCGACTACAATTTGAGCGACTGCCAGTTCAGCGAAACACTTCATCGTCCTTTAACGTTCTTTTTTTTTTGCGAGCGTATACGCGCGAATGTTTTCGGAATTTCTCATGGTTATCCGGAACTGGATGGCGAATGTCACGTCCAAAGACCTCAGACATTTAGCTCCAAATGTAATGCTACATTTCTAAACAATTCCAACGGTTCAATTTCACCCCCTGCTCTTTATAGAATTTAACAAATAGAATAGTTATATCAAGTTTTGTCCAGACGGTACCTAGACCTACTCATAGGCGGTGGAACGAAGGGGGGTACCGGGGCACCGTGCCCCCCTTGATTTTGGCAGGGGGTACCGGGGCACCGTGCCCCCCTTGATTTTGGCATTTTAACATTAGCCCTATGGGCATAGGCGCGGGAGCCGGGGGGCAGTGGGGGCAGCTTGCCCCCCCCCCCCCAGCTCTGGAGCCGTGGGGGCGATGCCCCCACAGCTTTGAGACGGAATACCACACTTTTTTGCAAATGTTTTCTTTTTTGTTGAAAAAGCCAAGGGATGAAAAATAAGTGGCCTAAAACCGGTGAGAAAACTAGATTTGGGGGTACCCTAGGTTGATCTCTATTATGGTGTGCCCCCCCCCCCCCCCCCCAGTCTGAACGTAGTTCCCGCGCCCCTGCCTATGGGCGTTGCATGGAGAGAATGAGACCAAATGTCGGCGGTGCCCCCCTTAATTGAAGGTGTTCCGCCGCTACTGAACGGTAGCCAATCCATTGTATTTAATTTTGTCTTTACCTCTGGTGGATTACAAACTGTTAGGTGTTATCATGACGCAAGATATAAAACAAAAATTTAAAAACGAAACGTTGCAAGATGAATGATTAAACGTTGCGAAATGAGGCCTGATATTTTTGTGGTTTCAGGTTTCCAACAAGATTACTAGAACAAGATAACAGATTTTCAAGCTTTAAAACATTTTTTTTTTTTATTTTGTCGCGCGCAGCTTGAAGCATGACACAAACCAAACGGGTATTCAAAGGGCAAGAATTTCCAAAAAGTAGAAATGATTGACTTTCGTCGCGTTCGGTTTCGCTGTAACTGTATTCGCTCAATTGGTCTCCCATTGACCACCATATATTCTCTCAATCTGGTTTCGCTGATTCTGGTCCTCGCTTACGTTGATAATCGCTGTGATTGAATTCGCCAGGAATCAAATGCTCTTCCATTGGGTTGGGTATTGTTTGAAATGTATGACATATTGCATTCTCCTGAAGTGAGACTTGGATTTAAAAGTGCATGCCATGAATTCGTGGCACACGATGTCGGGCGCATTTGCGTCTTGCAACTAATGATTGTAGACTGTAGGTCACTACCTATCGGGATATTCGCTGTCTTGGACTCGACCCGATGAGCCGTTTTCAGTGCGACTTTTATGACCAGTCCCCTTTCATTTACCCCCTGTATACCCCCTGTATACCCCATCATCTATCCTGCAGCAGGTGGCACAATGGTGGCCAATCGCTAATGATGCGCCGTCTGAAGGGAGGATGGATGACCGATTCGACTCGGATGCTAATGACCTTTTTGCACGTCTCCAAACTGAGAGCTGCTTTGGGTACTCTTTTGCGTGGTTCATATTTACGTTGCATTATGGGCTTGTTTACCTTATTAAGGTAAGCTTCGTGAGGTCAAGATCGCCGGTCGCCACTTTCCTCCATCCGGAAGACGACTGGATCAAGTGTCGTTAGTGTGACATTCGGCGAAAGGTAACGACACTTCGACCTACATAGACCTTCGGTCCAGTCTCGAGTATGAGCATCCTGCATATGTTATGTGACCCGCAGGCTCAAACTCAAGATTAATTCACATGAGACAGTGGACACGGACTGTATGCGTCAGCGTATTAACCGCCTTACCGGTTCAATAAGCGGGGCCATCATTGTACCTAAATGTCAAATACTTTCCTCGCATGTCCAGTGAACAGTGATGAAGGGTTGGCGCTCCCGCCCCCTCCTGTCGTGTGCTATTTGACGTGATTGCTGCCATGAAGCCAATCGGGTGATTGTAAACTGTTAGGGAGGAAAGGGTGCATAGATATCACCGCTCATTACGCTAAAAGCCCCATAACATTGCATACGTGGTCTACTTCCCGCTTGTTCACTAGAATTTGTAAAGTCTAAATTTGCGGCTACCAAGAGCTTAGGTATGCCCGTGTACTGTGTAGGAACTGTGTTTTTGTCTATCCGCTTTGTAAGCCGATCGTCTGCCGTTCATTTTATGCGCCATCATGATCAGCTACCCACTACCTAATTTATAGGTTTCAGTGTCCATTTAGTGTGCCTTTCCGTACTCGCCCGTCAAATTCAGTGGCGCTGCTCGCTACCACTCACTGTATCTACGTCTACGTCACCGCCCCGACAGCGGCGTCGAGCGGTCGGCTCGCTCGGCAGCTGCATTATTCACAGTCCGCTGAGTGATGAGGAGAGCCAGCCGCACGTGCGCGGCCCCTCCTAACTCCCGCTCCCGCGCCAAATTAATCCGCCCCTGTCGTGTGTCGATCACCCACACACAAACGCAGAGCAATGGGGAGACTAGAAGTAATACCCCGCCGGCTATTGGACGTGAGTGATGGCCGTGCTAATATTGCTCGACAGCCGGGCAGGTATAAATCCCGTACAGGAAATGCTTCTAGAGGAAAACAGAATGGGAGCCCGCGCAAATGATACCTGCATAGGCATAGCAGCCACTTGAGAGCCTATGGCAGATAGATACTGCTGAGCTGCTAGCTCAATGAGTCCTCATCTCATAGGTGCATGCGACGGCCTCCGGCTTGTCGCTGTGTTAGGCTGCGAGGCGACGATGGTAGAGTTGACTGCAGGCACACTGTGCCGCACTGCTCGGGTGTGTTGCGGGACAGCCTAACCTAACCGCTCGAGTCGTCCGGGCCCGATGGGAACCGTAAGGCATCTGAGGCACAACCTGGCCCTTGCGGCCGTATATCAGATATAGACCGACTGCATCCACTGTGATGATTGCAGACTGTTGGTGGTGTAGCCTGATGGCAACTGTTGGTGGTGTAGCCTAACTGCATTCCATAATATAATATCGACCTTCTCGATCGGTCGAAGCCAACTCGCCCCATCGCGCCTTCGCTGAAGTTTGCTTAGCCTCAATCGTGAGCTTGATCAAAATCGTCATCGG